GGGGGGGGGGGTTGCCCTGAATTCTGTGCCCTCCAAGGATTAGGATCGGCTTTCTACCTGAGGTTAGTTTCCTAGAAAGGGAGGGGCCCCCATCCCTGCTTTTCTGTTCCTGTTTACAGAGGGGGGCAGGCCCTTTCCTGCAGGACCTACCCTAACCCAGGGAAGCCAGAAAGGGAAGCTAGCTTCCCCACCCAAGGTAGCGGGGACTAGGAGAATCACAAGGGAAGCCCCGTGGCCTCAGTGACCTTGGTCCCACCCGGGTGTTTCGCCGGGGCTGGGCTCAGAGGACCCCAGCTACAGAGATGGCGGTGAGGAGTTTGTGGCACAGCGCACCGTCCCAGCTTCTGGAGCATCATCTCGGGGCCCTGGAGTCCTCCAGGCTGAGGAGGACAGCCACTGTAGGGAGCTAGGCCTCGTGAGGAGAGACTACCTGGGCTTTCCGGCCTCCAAAGCTTACTCTAGCACTGACCAAAAGCTAGCAGAGTAGAAGGCTGGGGGTGGGGTGGGGAGCTGAGTCAGGAGGGAAGGGAGGACAGGAGCCTAGGGGCTGAATCTAAAACCACACGCGAAGGTCAAGTTCAGAACTGGGGCCGGGCCACCAAGCCTCGTAGAGGAGGGCTGTGAAGGAGGTGGTTTGGATCGTCTCTCTCTCTGGGACGGGGAGCCTCTGGCCCCAGGAACTTTTCCCAGAGTTTTCTGGCCACCCCCTCCTCGCTTGCCTTTGTAACTGATGTCCTGAGAGCTGGGTTGATTTGGGGTGGGGCAGAGCTGGCCCCCACTTTGGGGGGAGGTGGCTGGCAGGATTTAGGGGTGCAGGGTGGCTAAGATCTCAGGAGTTTGGGAGAAGCTGAATTCTGGGTCTCCCACCCACAGTGTGGCTGTTGTGGTGACTCAGCCGGGCTCAGACTCTGGCTCCGGGGGGGTTTAGGGGACTTATCTGTGCTGGGAGCTGTGTCTGGGCCAGAGCCGGGCTGCCTCAAGGCCTGTCCTCCCCCCATTGTTCTCAGCTGCCTTTGTGATTGGTGTGGCCCCCCTCCCCAGACACTAATCTGTGGGTGGGCACTTTGCCCGGGTTGGGAAGCTGTCACTAAGCTGGGGGGCTTAGGACGATGGGGGCCAAGTGAGGGACGTGGATGAAGGCAGACGGAGAGTCTCCTGGTTTTCCAGGCTCCTTAGCACCTCCAAGGCCAAGGTTATGGGAGGAAGGGTGGAAGAAAAAAGGGCTTGCTGGGTGGTTGATGTCACCTGTCTTGAATGGGGGGCTTCAGGGCTCCTCCCAGGTTCTTTCTTACCCCAAATACCCATTCCAGCTCTGTCTGGTAGAGGCTGCCACTGTGGGGCGAGGGGAGGCAAGAGTTAACAAAGGAGCCTGAGCCCCTGGACCGCTTGGACCCCTCCCCCTAGCCCTAAGCAGGAGTCCCCCCCCCCTTCCCACCAAACCCACACCAGACAACCCTCACCCCAGGCCCGGAGCTAGAGCTGGTTTTTCTGGTGGTGGCAGCAGCAGAGGCCTGACAGAGATTCCCAGGGAGAGGCCTCCTGGGGGGCCGAGGGAGGTGGTTGGGGGGTCGGGGGAGGGGGGGGAGTCCTTCTAGCAGGAGCCTGAGGAGCCAGGGGAGGGTGAGCCTCTGTTTTGCTCTGCTGAGGAGTCCTTGACGGCAGTTTCCCATCACCTGGAGGGGCAGTGACCTCATCTCTGGGTACCTCCGCCTGAGATGAATCTGCCCTCAAGTCTGGGGTGAGGTGGGGAGGGGTGCCTGGCTCCGCTCCAGACGGGCCACAGAGGCGAAGGGGCAGAGCCAACCCACCACTGACCATGGGCAGCTAAGACAGACAGACACGTGGAAGCCAGGAAGGACCAGCATCAAAACATTTACCCTGTGTTCAGAGTCCCGCGGGACGGGAGCGCGCACGCGCACACGCACACGGAACAGTGTCCGCACACACACTTGCACACAGACCACTCCGCGGCTCTTGTCTCTGGAGGCAGGCGAGCACAGACACCTTCCTAACGATAACACGTGAGCGCTTAGAAGTGCAAAACACCCCCAAGTTCAGCAAGGAGTCGGCCTCACTTACACCCGCCAGGCCCTTTCCCAAAGTCATCAGACATTCACGCGCAAAAGACCCATGCACAGACTCATCGCCAGGACCCCTAGATGCAGGGATACTGAGGGAGAAAGGCCCCTCACAAAGGAAAGCCTCCTTCCCCAACGACGCTGTTATCTGCAGCTGCTAGCCTCAGTTTCCCCTCCTGAGATCGGAGGCCAGGCCCCCCACACAGAGGAAAGCTGGGACCCAGGCAGCCAATCCAGACCAGGAATGGAGGGCCTGTCTGGGAGCGGGCGGGGTACACAGAGGGCAGGGCCCCAAAGAGGCCCGTGGGGGCCTGGCCAGGGGTGGGGGAGGCCGAGGGCAGGGATCCCGTCTGGCCAGTTGGGCCTGTTCTTTCCTTGCGCAAGGTGGTGGCTGGTGGCGGCTGTGGCTGGGCCTGCTGCTCTGTGGCAGCATCTGAATCACCAGGGCTCCTGACCAGCGTCCTGTGCTCCCGGGAGGAGGGGTGGGGACGGTCAGAGGGAGGAGTGCCCAGCCAGCAGAGTCCACCAGCCTCGGCGAACAGTTCGCAGCAGAAGGGTCCGTGGGCTTGGCCCGGCCTGGCAACTACATGCCCGCGGGGTGACCTCACCAGGCGGGCGGCGTGTCTCCTTCGCTCTGGTGACATCATCATGCTGACGCCAGGCGGGCACTGGGTGGGGGAGAGAGGGAGGAGGCAGGGCCGGCCTGCCCTGGCCTGGGAGTCTGGGCTTCTGGGTCCAGTTTAGTCCAGGATGGGGATTCTAGAGCCCAAGTTCTCTCCTCCTTCTGTTGCAGCCCCTGTGTGTGTGTGTGTGTGTGTGTGTGTGTGTGTGAAGTGTGAGGGGCTGTTGCCCGAAGCTGTGATGCTCCTGGTGAATAGGGGACTTAGGACAATGCGGGGCTGTGGGAGAGATCCTGAAAGGGCTCTGCTGTTTTGCTGGGTTCTTCATCCTGCGAAGCATGGGCTTGTTGCTCGGCGGTGGGGATCTTGGACTTACGGGGAGGGACGCAGAGGACCGCGACGCAGGCATATGGTCTGTTGTGCCCTAAGGGAGACGTATGTTGGGGAAAATGTGGGCGATGCGTTGTGGAGAGGGGCCGGATGGTTGGCAAGCATAGGGATAGGGATGGGAAATACGCCATCCGACGGTGTCCCGTAGAAGGGTCTGAGTGTCCCAGCGGAGCAGGGCTTGTGACCCCTGTGCCGGTGGAAACCAGTGCTTGAAGCAGAGGATGTGCTGGGGGCTGAGCCCCCATCTCCAGCCCACCTCCAGCCCTTCCTTGGCAGCCCTGCTCCCTGCCAAGGAGGGGTGGGGGCGATGAGCCGGACTCCCAGGCCGGGCTGGGTGGGACCGACACCAGCTTAGGCAGGTCAGGGCCCCGGTATCTGGCCCTGCAGGTCTGTCCCGTCCGGTTCGGGTCCTCCCAGCTCCCGACAGCACCCTCCCTCCCTCCGCCCCTGCTCACAGGGTCACGGGACCCCCTTCCTCTGGCCTATGCTCAGCCTCCCCGGAGCCCTCTGGTCCAGCCGAGTGGACCACTTCCTCCCTCCATAACCGCCCCGTCCAGCCCCGGCCTTCTCCCTGTGCGCGGTCAGAGCTGTTCCCTCTGGCATCGAACCCAGGTAGCCAGCCCAGCCTGCCTCCACCCCGGGCTGCCATGCCAACCCCCTCCCTGTCTGCCCAGCCCAGCCCAAGATTCATTCCTGCTCGCTCTACCTTTTCCTTCTTCTCCCTGTCTCTCTCTCTCTGTCATTCATTCATTCATTAACATTCATTCAATAAACATTCAATTCATTCAATAAACATTCATCGAGGTCCCCTTATGTGCCAAGAAGGCAGACCACCTGCCACTGAGCCCTAAGTCAGAAAACCGTGTTTCCCTATGTGATGTGAGACCCAGCTTCTTCTCTTGGGCAGCTCCGTCCAGCGGGACAGGCAGACGGGAAGCGCCCAAATGCAATCCAGGGGGGATACAGTACGGTGGTGAGGTCAGAGCAGGGCGCTAGGGCAGGAGGGAGCGAGGGCCCCTCATTCTGCCTGAGGTGGGGGTGGGGTGGCGGAGGAAGCGTTGTCTAAGCGGAGTCTAAGGCTGAGTAGGAGTCATCCCTCCAGACACCGGGAGGAGCGCCTCCCGGGAGGGGCCCGGGTGAGCCAGGCATGTGTGGCCAGAGGCAGGGGCTGCGCGCTGCGGGGAGCTGCTGGATATACATCCCAAGGCAGAGAGCTCTTGGCTTCCCAGAGAGAACCCTCCCTTTGTCCCCAGCCCTGCGTTTCACATGCCTTATTCCACGAATTTATTTATTCCTCCTGGACCATGAGTTTCCCCAGGCCCCGCCCCCCCTCCTACATCACTCATCCTGGAACCGGTAGGAGTTGTCTTTGTCCGGCCTCTCTTTTCTGTCTCTCTCTCTCTGGTCAGTGATCAAATCCTGCCGAGGGTCCTCCAGGACCGTCCCCTCCTCCCTGTCCCACAGCATGAAGGGTTCCTAGAGAGTCTCGGGGCTTCAATCTCCCTGCTTTCCAGCCGGAGGGCACACAGCCACTGGCCTCTTGCCACAGTGATGGCTCCCCATGAGTTCCTTCCCCTGGTGTGCAAGGCCCAAGCACCCGTACCTGTCCTGTTGGACGCATACCGCCTGCCTTAGGTGCGTTCTTTCCACCCTGCTTCCTGAGCCAGCCAGCCTCTCCACCTCTCTGGGTCCCTCACCTGGAATCCCTTTCTGGGGTCTCCCCCTCCTGGTCCTACCCAACTCATGCACGAGGCCCTCCCGCAGACTCGGGTCCACGGTGACTGTCCCATCCCCCAAGTGGCCTGCAACACACCCTGAGCACTAAATCAGAGACCGTCACGCCTTTCCATACACGTCCACAAAATGTGTCTCCAGACCTCAGGTTCCATGAGGACAAGACAGGAAAGGGATCCTTCTTTTTTTTTTTTAATTTTTTTTT